GAAAATTCTGAAGAAGGGTCTAGGCCCGAAATGTCAGCTTTCCTGCTCCTCTGATGCTGCTTGGCCTGCTGTGTTCATACAGCTCTACACCCTGTTATCTTAGATTCACCAGCATCTGCAGTTCCTACTATCTCTGAAACAATCCTTTCCTCACCTTCCCACAGCTGCAAACTTTGTGGTGCCACTGAAGGCCAGATAACTAGGCTGTTAGCTTCATAGAGGGGGTTGAAGTACTTCTCCAGTTCTTTTGGTCTATTCATCCAGGACCAGAGAGATACAGTTTTCTGTTGAAGCTTTAGTTTTCGTCTGGAATACAAAGAAAATTAACTTTTGGCTGCTATTGTTCACGAAAAAATAAGTCAATTACCATGAAAAAAACGTACCAATGATTCATTATATTCAAAATACAAATTAAAATTAAGTTTGTGTGTTCAAACTTAAGCATTTTAACAGGTCTTGGGCATTCCTGCTCAAAGTCTTAACTTTGGTACAATAGTTTCTTATATTAGATATCCAAAACTGTTCTCTCTCAAACTTGTGTCGATCACCATTATTCTGTTTGCTGATTATATGATGAGAATTTCAATCACGTTTTATATTTTTTGTATATTGTTTTATATTTAAGCTTAATGGATTCAGCACTGATTTGAGATCTGAGCCTCCTCAGCATAGCCAAAAAATCCCTGCACATCCTGAAGATGTGAATTGCTAAGTCCCAACATTTTGAATAGACAATGAAGAAACAGCAATCTATTTTAAACTCAGAATGATGTGCAATTTGAAAAGGGAACCTGAAGATGGTGGTGTTCTCAAATAGCTGCTGCCTCTGCTTTTCCAAATGGCAGAACACAGCATTTCAAAGATCCTTTTGAAGGAGCTTTGGAAAGTTGCTCCAGCATGGAACAAGATGCAGTCACTACTCATGGGTGGACAGCATGAATGTTTAAAGCAGTGGGTGGCATTTCAATCATGAAAGAACTCTTTCTTTCCTGCATGTTGAACTTTGAGTGTCAGTAGTGCTGCAGTTGTCACTGCAGAATAACCAAACTGATCTATTGTTGTAACTTTAGTTTTTTGGAGGTTGCTGCAATCAGCGAATGCTCCAGTTGCTTTAGTCAATGTAAATCTCCACACGGTAAAGGTGAGGGATTCAGTTATTGAAGATGGTATACTGTGAAGTCATATTGCATGAATATTACTTGCCATTCATCAGCCTAAGCCTGAAAGTTGTCAAAATCTGCATTTAGCTTTGGCTGCATGCAGTCAAGAATTACTCTGTTATCTAATAGGTTGTGAATAGAATGGAATTTATTGCAAGCCTTATGATGGAGGGAAACTAATTGATAAAGCAGCTGAATATGATTGGGAAACAACCATCTTTTGTGCTAAGTACAACTTCAGCCAAGGAAACCGATTCATCCCAACTCTATGAGGTCTTCTTGTTGTCACACTTAGTCAAATTCTGTCTATGTCATGCAGAGTTAACCTTTTAATCCTTCTCTGTCATTCTTTATCACCTGTCCTATTATATGACCTGCCATCAATCTTTATGCAACTGTTTTTTCTTGATTTTGATGGTATGCTTAATTTTAGTTAACTGTGGTTTAATTATTTTTCAAAGGAAGAATATATTGATTTATCCTTTTCTGAAATATCTCAGTACGATGCTATTGATCAGTTGTTCACCGAGTATCCCAGTTCCTTCTTGAAAACATTAAATATTTTGGCCTCAACTGTTTTCTACGGTGAAGAATTCCACAGCCTCACCACTCTGGACAAAGAAATTTTGCTTCACCTCAGTCCTAAATGGCTTACTTTGTACCCTCAGACTGCAACCCTTGGTTCTGGACTCTCTAGTTATTGGAACATCCTTCCTACATTTACCCTGTTAAGAACCTAGAACATTCTAACAGGACTTCTACGAGATCGCCCTGATTCTTCTGAATGTCAGTGAATATAATCCTAACAGAGTCAACCTCTCCTCATGCGATTCTCTTCAAACATCAGTCTTGCTGTACCAGGAATCAGTCTGGCAAACCTTTGCTGTACTCACTCCAAAGTCAGAACTTCCTCAGGTAAAGAAGAATAAGTATATAAATGGTAAGAATCAGTTAAATATACTTCATCCTACAATGCAGCTACTTTTATGCGGCCCGTCGATCACACCTGCTGGTGACTTCTTTCCCCTCCTTTACTCTTTTTCACCCATGCTTCTACATCCTGATCTCCTGGACAAAGGCCATCTCTAACTACTGCACCAATATTATCCTTAATTAGCTGCATTACCCCTCTACCTTTACCCAACTTCCCATTCCTCTTGCATGTCATAATAAAGTACCTAATCATTGTCATTATGCAGTCATATTTCCATAAAGGTTCTCAGATCATATTTATTACCTTCAATGTAATTCCTTTTATGATAGAGTATGGTGCTTTAAAAATCTGAAATTGTAAGGCAAGGTATGATCTTGTAAATGATTCACTTATTCTGCAGACATGTTCAAATCTTAAGAAAATTGCACCCCCCAGTGGACACTAATAAACCAATTTCTTTTTAATCAGAGACAACAAGGTGCAGGGCTGGATGAACACAGCAGGCCAAGCAGCATCATAGGAGCAGAGAGGCTGACGTTTCGGGCCTAGACCCTTCATCAGAAAAGCTTCTTTTTAATCAGTACTCTTTAGTTGTAATGAAATCCAAAATAAGACATATCCGTATAGTAGAATTCACTAAATTCTTCTTTTCCCAAACTAAATAACTGTTTTTAGTGCGGATTCTCTTTGGATCTTGTATTTGAAGGTTTCCCAATCTTTGCAATATATCCTTTTACACAACAAAAGTAATGGTTACTAAATATTCACTCATTAAACTTGCAATGACTCTGAATTTGAGCGCTTCTAAAGTGATATCAGTAGTTCAGTGCTACTGATTCCAACTTAATAAACTTCAATCTTCTCAAGAAAAGGTAAGTACACTTGGGAGCATCATACATACAACATGCAGATAGGAATACATCAATTTTCTCTCAAGCTATACAACATCCTGCCTTGATCTTTCACTCTTGCTGGGAAAATACCCTGAAAGCCTCTACTTAACACTATGGAAGTACATTCCCCACATGGAGTGCAGCAGTTCAAGGAGCTGGCTTATTCAGGACAACTAACTAGACTCTCATCCTGTGAAATAAAAAAAATTTTTTTAAAATGCAGACAGATTTGGCATAATCCAGAACTGACCACCAATGTCATTTATAACACATGAAGCAGAGAATTATAATAAAAAAAAACTCAACTTGGATAACTTCAGAAATTCATGAACATCACTTGTGATGAAGTGTGTGTAGCCTTTTTTTAAAGCCAGTGGCAAATGAGTTTTGGTCTATTTTTGAGAAAGGATTTCATAATTAACTGGGTTGTGTTGTGCGGAACTATGATTTTAAGCCAGTATGTGTCAGAGGGCAAATGACTGAAGGCCTCCTGGTGTGTTAGCGAATGTTTAATTATATTGCAGAAGAAAAGAAAATTATGCCAAGAGAAAAGAAAGCCATCAGGTTAGCAGAAACTAGGATGAACAAGTCTGTTTAGTCATTTAGTTAAAAGCTGCTGAATCCAGTTTGAAAGAAAGAGACTTCAGCGAAGTTCCATGCAAGAATAGTTTCTCTTAGAAAAAGGAGCTTGCTCAGAGCACTTTAGGAAATAAGTTACCTCGCCGAGGGTTTCAGTCTGTGAAAACTTTCAGACCAACAGTGTTTGGTTAGAAATCTGCATAAGCTGAGAATGTCTAAGATCTCATGAGAATTCATAGATATGAGGTACAAGGATTCAAGAAAAGACTTCACTTCAAGAGAAGAAAAAGCAGTGAAAGCAAAAGTACAGATTATACAGGGAAGGATTATTCCAGAGTAGATAGCACTTTACTGCTGTGTTTTGAAATTTTTCAAACTGTTGTATTCAGATAATATGGATTTCTTTATTTTTAGTTCTAATGTGATAAACTTCTGCTTTACCAGTAAAACTAAATGTGAAAACTTGTGTGTTTATGGTTCAATGAAAGGCTGCCACATTAAATTTTAAAAATACGATATATATCATAGCCAGATTTCAATTTGGGATTTGACTTGTCCAGTAGTGACATCAGCTGGGATCACAATACTGTTTACAGTCTCAGACTTGAAAAAAAAGATAATCAATCCATGGCAGTCCTACTGACAATGATTACAAGTTCAATCACACCAGTGGGTGATAACTAGTGAATCTAAACACAACCAATGAGTTTCTATAGGACTTGCAAGAAAAACAAAACTGGAAAAGATGAGCTCAAGTTAAATAAGCATATTAATAGTTTAATCATCAACACACAAAAATGATGGACTGTCCAACTCTCAGTTGAAGATATGTGACATTAAAAAAGAACTGGAGATGACGTAGAACTAAAAGTTATTGCCCTGGCTTCAATGTTGAATCCCCTAGACGACACAAGAGCAACAACAAAACAAAAATCTATCTCCAATGATTACAAACCTTTCGTTTTCATTGTTGCCCAAGAACGTCCCAAACTGGGAGGCATAAGCATGTTCAAACAACACTATTAGAAACTGTTCATTAAATTCAAAAGAGCATGGGAACTGGCGTTGGATCTGCCAACAGCAATCCAGGAACAGGAGAAATGTAGGAGCTTCATTCTTCTGCTTCAAATTAGAATAGGCTGACTGAGCACATCGCTGCTGGAATGGATGACCAGCCTGTAACAAATAAACCAATGTGAATAAAGTTTTCCCAAGAGAAGAGCAAGTAGGTTACAAGCAAAAAAAGTAAAATCAAAAATTGGAAGTAATTGTGATATGGAGCAACTGGCATTCAATTTAAAAACTGATTGAACTTACCATTAGCCTCAAAAACATGCAGAATTCTAGATTATCTTAAATAAATTATTAGCTACAATAGATACTGCCTTACACAGAACTCTCCTAAATCATCTCAATTCAATATCTTTATGATACACGATTCCAGCACAATGGCTCAAACTGAAGCAACTGCAACCATTTTACTTAAACTGTTGTGTCACAACAGGGAATGGCTGAACCCCTCTGATAATTAAACTAAAACACAAGCCCCATTCTGTTATGCCAGGAGTAGGGGTTCCCCTCTAATAATTACCCCCTAAACTCAGAGAAGCTTGTTTTTTCTCTCATAATCTATTAAACGAGTGGTTAAAAGAAAATCCCTGATCTCCACTTTGCAAGTAACAAGAATCAATTTATTTATTTAACCCAACAATGAACAAATTAACAAAATTACTAACAAACCGACAATTCCCCCCTAGACTACTAACTACTCCCTAACTGGTCTAAATTCTACTGGAATGCTATTTAAATAAAGACAAGTCCTACTAATATAATCCCAATTAATAAGCAGCAATAAATTATAACTTAATTTCTTCACACACTCTGTCTCCAGGAATATTCTGTCGTCTCCGCTCTCTTCACAAATGCCTTTCTTCCATTAACTCTGCTATAAGGAATGTTTTATCTCTATAATTTCTTCAATAAGGACTTTGAACTAAAATACTGTGGTACCTTTGATTAATTAGATCATCCTTGCCTGAGAGCTGTATGGTGCTAACTCTGGCAGTTGGCTGTCTCGTTCACATGGCAGTTGGCTCTCGCCGATTTTCCAAATGCCCTCGTTCTATATACCCGTAATGACAATCAAATTATTATACGATCGGTTTCAGGTTGTCAACTCCATCAGATTTAAATTCAATTGGCTTTCTGTATCTAGGTGCTTTGTTTAAATTAATTGGCCAAATTCAAACTCGTCACAACATCAAAACAAGACTGCTGTTTTGCATGCCACCTGCAAGGCTTTTTTGATACACTTGTTTCACCTTTTGAAGCTTTCTGTACTGGAAACTTCAGTTGCTGCTCCCAGACATAGAAATTTTTAAAAAATTTTAAGTATGGACAAAGCACAAATCTCTTAAAGGAACCACACATTTTAGCCTCCTGCCTTCTACTTTAGTTACTCTACTCAACTTCATAACAGTTGTATCACTGAAAAACTGCTTCAAATTTTAAAAAAAATCAGTTGGGAGAGATCAATTTTGCACAGTTATTGATGTGGAGACACATGTACTTTTCCTCCCCTTCTCTAATTCCAGCATCATGAAGAATAATTATGGCCAAGGTTTTACTTCTGTCGAGGTGAAAAACTGAAGCTAAATTTTCGGAAAGTGTTGCAAAAATACATAACTCTGACAACTTGTCTATACGAATGAAGTCTCCAAATTTAATTCTTCCAAAAAAAAAAAATCATGGAGTCAGACCACATCAATTTGATCCTAAGAGCTTATACATAATGGCTGATTTTAAGCTTACTTTCAAATCCCCTGAACTATAACTCAATCAATAGAAATAATAACACAAATGAATTCAGTATTCTAGTCAACCCTTTTCACAATGAGATAATTTTGTTAGCCACATTGCCAAAAGAAAGTCTACCTAGTTTTCAGTACTAACCTGTAACCATTCACGTTCAATCAAGGCCTCAAAACCATTCATCGTTCTGGACTGTGGATCTAGAATAATATGGGCAAGAGAAGTGACTTGTAAAGTAGAGTCAATCCCTTCACCGCCATGAACCAGTACGGATGCACCTTCCCTGAAACAGGAACAACAGTATGAACACCATGAATACATGCTTAGAAAAAGTATAATTTGCACTACAATTATAAAAGATATATACTTTGCTTCGTTCTTTCCAAAAAGCTATGAACATTGGCAGAAGTAGCAAAAATGGTGCATTTTTCAAATGCATGAATCTCTCCTGGAATGGAGACATCAAGTCTGCAATATTATCAGAGATCTCATGATGCAGTTTTGTAGGTGGGACAAAACATTGGTTTTGAACAATACGGGTTTGCCACAGGACCATCAATCCTTTTCTTTCTTTCTCTGAAGTCTCTCTTGAAATTGAGTGTTCAAAAACATTAAATGGCCTCATCATTAAATGGAAGGTTCTGAAAGATGAAATCTAGATTTATACAACTGTCTCTGGAAAAAAATTCAACCGCTCATAACTGATTCAGGAAGAAATCCCGGTGCGAACAGCTTATGCAGCAAGTGACCAGCTGCAGAATCATTTTTGACACAGTCTTTGAATACACATTTTCCTTCGCTAAATGTAACTGTTATGTAGCCAAAGCACGTTAAGATAACACTCCATAGCATACTATATCCCCTCATGTTCTGGAGATGTCCACGCCAGGGAAGAGAGAGGTGGGCACGGATACGCTTGCACACATAAAACTTTTAAAGTGTAAGGTGAATTTTGCACACGGATTTAAACCCTTGTTGCCACACAGCAGATATCAACCTTTCATGTTTAGGTATCAATTTACAGTACCAAACAGATGTATTACCTGTGAAAACAGTGAGCAAAATACAGTGCAGCACTGTCTTTTTATATCTCTTCTTCCCTTTGTCTTGTTTTAATATCAAGGAAAGTGTTCAGCTTCAGACAACATACATTCAGGAAATAGAATAGAGTCATACAGCACATAAACAAACCCTTTGGCGCAACTCATCCATGCTGATCAGGTTTCCTAAACTGAAATTAGATCCATTTTGGCTGCCTTTGGCCCATATCCCTCTAAACCTTTCCTATCCGTGTACCTGTCAGTACCACTTCTTCTAGCAGCTCATTCCATGTAAGCATCACCCTCTGTGTGAAAAAGTTGCCAGAGGTTCCTCTCAAGTCTTTCGGGCCTCACCTTCAACCTATGCCCTCGAGTTTTCGATTCCCTTATCTGGGGAAAAGAACTTTGCTATTCACCTTATCTGTGCTCCTCATGATTTCATACATCTAAAAAGTCACCCCTCAACCTTCGATGCTCCAGAGAAAAACGCTCCAATGTATCCAGCGTCTCCTTAGAACTCAAACCTTCCAATCTCTGCAGCATCCTTGTAAATCTTTTTAGGACCCTTTCCAGTTTAATAACATCCTTCCAATAGCAGGGCGCCCAGAATTGTATGCAGTACTCCAAATATGGCCTCGCCAAATATATCACATAATTTTCATCACCATGGCCTTCTTTAGAAATTGAAGTATCTACACCCTTGGCTCTTTAGCAGATGATAATTCCAAAACAATTCTCCAGACTGCATATTGGAGATATCTTCTGTGGTGCTGTGTGGCACTTCCATGTGAAATGGGATGGATTCAGTATAGTTCCAGCAACTCAAAACATTCCATCCATGAAGTACTATGGGCAACCAGCAGATCTGTATCCAACCAAAATTTGTATCATCATGGTTTGACAAATCTCTCACTCTATCTTTACCATAAAAGCAAGGGGATCAAAAACAAAGTTGCTGGAAAAGCTCAGCAGGTCTGGCAGCATCTGTGAAGGAGAAAACCGAGTTAACGTTTCGGGTCCAGTGATCCTTCCTCAGAACTTACTCATTCTGGACCCAAAACATTAACTCGGTTTTCTCCTTCACAGATGCTGCCAGACCTGCTGAGCTTTTCCAGCAACTTTGTTTTTGTTCCTGATTTCCAACATTCGCAGTTCTTTCAGTTTTTATCTAGCCAGAGGATCAACCCTGCTTCAATGAAGAATGTAGAGAAGCAGCATGGATACCTAAAAATAAGGTATTAGACTGATGAAGCTATGACATTGGACTGTTTACATACTAAATAATCCAAGAAACATGAAATCAAAGAAGTGATCCCACTCACAGAGCAGATCAAGTTTAGCAGTTCTGTTACATCCAAACATGAATGGTAATTAGCAATAAAACAGCTATCAGGTGGTGCAGGCTCCATAAATATCCCAATTCTCAATGATGGAGAAGCCCAGCATTTTAATTTAAATGACACAGCTAAAGCATTTTCAACTAGCCTCGAAAGTACCCTGTATTACAGACCAAATTTAAGCCAACTCAATTCACTCCACGTGATATCAAGAAATATCTGAAAACATTAGATAATTTCAAAAGCAGCAGAATCATCAACATTTCGGCAACAGTAGGGATGATCTGTGCTCCAGATCAAGGTAAGCCATTTGAGTTTAGCCAAAACAATGGCATCCAACCAATGTGGTAACTGCCCAGATTAAGTCCCTATCAAAAATATGCAGGATAAATTCAATCTGGCCAGTTACTGCTCCATTAGCCTACTCTCAGTCATCAGGTATATGAGGGGGATGTATCATCAGTGTTACCAAGTGGCATTTGCTGAGTCAACTTGCTCACTGATGCTCAGTTTAGGTTCTAAAAGGACCACTCAGTTCCAGACCTCATGTTGGTCCAAATATGGACAAAAAAGCCGAACTCAAGAGGTAAGGTGAATGCGAATGTTCATTGATATCTAGGAGTCCTAGCAAAATTAAAGTTAATGAAAATTAGGGGAAAACTTCCCACTGTGCTGTGTGGGACTCAAAACAAAGTAAAACAGCGGTGGTGGTTTTCTGAAAGTCAACTATCTCAGTCCCAAGACATTACCCTGAGGAACTCCTGCAGCAATGTGCAAAGCCCAAACATTTCAGTTCCTGACACTGATTACGTAGTGTTGTACACGAAGTTGAAATTTCCAAAAAGCAATTAAGCAGCATCAGGAACCCTCCACAGTGACTCACACTGATTATCTTCCTTCTGAACATCCAAAAATTCTTCCATCTGCACAGTCCCCCACAGAAACTGACTTACTCCCCCAACTGTGCGGACACACAAACCTGTCACCTTGCAGACGGCACCAAACACACATCTCACTGACAACAGACACCCAACCATCACATGTCTTTTTGCATCAGACATAAAATTGCTGCGCAGTCCAACTCCTGACATTGCCCCATCCCAACATCCCTTGCCATATTTGCCCGACAACCACTGCTGCCTGACACTACACCCCCATAAATAGCATCTAGCCCTTCAATCTCCCAACCAAAGCCCCACACTCTTGAATATGTCTGCCCATCCTGATGCCACTCTTGTCCTACACCTTGCCCATCACATCTCAACTCTCCTACTGCCAAATTACTTAATACCTCTTCTCTCCCACTTCGTTGCCACACCTGACAACCAACACAATCCCTGCCTCATCTTACACTGTCCACCTTCCCAACTATCAAACAATCCCTGTTAACCCCCACCCACCTCCTGATGAGGAGTTGGACAACATCGCTCCATGAGTCTGAGTCACACCCTCCCGTCACCTGATAACCCTCTCCCCACCCCCAACACCTGACCCTCTTAGGATGTTCCCATCTCCATTCATCTGCCTGCTCCAAAGCCAAAGCTGAACAACCATCCATGTTATGTCTTCACCTCAATCTGTCACCTGATACTTCTTCTATTGATGTCCAACCCCTGACATGGCCTGGTCCCTTGCGTCCATCTTCCCACTCTGAAGATGGACATTCCTCTGCAATGTTCCCCCATGAAACCCAATGCTCATATGCCTCCCCCATGCCCCACCCCCAGTCTGCTCACTCTAATCCCTTGCACCAATGTAGCCCACATCAGAAACAGATTCCACCCTCCCCCACTGCAACCTCTGGCCTCAATAGCCAACAATGGTCTCCCCGAAATGACTGACCTATGCCATAATCCTCCACTGACTGAGCGCCTCAAATTGATCACACGCCCATGATCTTCCTCATTCCCTTCCTTCCCAATCCCTCGATAATGACACACTCCTACTTGCCTACAACATCTGACATTTTCCTGATCCCTACCCTAACACCAAACACACATCTCACTGACAACAGACACCCAACCATCACGTCTTTTTGCATCAGACATAAAATTGCTGCACAGTCCAACTCCTGACATTGCCCCATCCCAACATCCCTTGCCACTCTGTTCTTGTCTACCCATTGCCAACACTGTCAAACTAACCCCTCACACAGGCTCTCAACACCTGAATATCACCGACCCAATCTCTTGCTGCCAACCTGTATGCCCAATCCACAATAACTGTGCTGCCTGTTCACAGCCACTCCCGTCCAAAATGCTCAACATTTCCCTCATCCTTGTCTCTTGGTCCAGACCTCACACCCAACCAATTTAATCTGATAGCCCCTAACACCTGGCTGTGCTTGCTTACAATCACACACTTGTCTCCCTGACACCACACCACCCTTGCTGTCAGCTGACCACCACACCCTGATACCTTGGCTCTCCTCATGCCTGATGACTCCACTCAGACCCCAGAAGCACACACTTCCACAATGTCCTGAGCAGTCTCATGGTATGACCCCCAGCTCTTGGCCTCTCTCCAGTCACACCCTCATGTGACATACCACCACATGCCCCTCATCTGATGAACCTCTGTCACCATTGTCTGACACCAGACACACAGCAGTTCTTCAGCATTATTCCTGTCGGCATTCCAACAATACCCTCTCACTCCAGATGCCCCTTGGCCAATGTGCACCGACCTCTTCCTCACTTAAACCCACCCCCACACATCAGATACCCATTCCTTTTCCCTGACTGCATGCAACTGATACAATCCCATCCCATCATCCCCAACGCATGCCATCACCTGTCCGCTCACTCAATACCCTTGACCCTTGCACGATGGGATGTTAACCTTCTCTGACACCCTGCAGAAGAGGAGTGACACCTTCAATCTCCCTCTTCCAATAAGCTCTGCCA